AAGAGATTAAAGAATAAAGCTTATGTTATGGCTACGTGGCTAGGTTTTATTTGAGGGGGATTTTTTCCTCCACACTTTGCCTCTAATTCCCTTTTTAATTGGACTATGGCTCCCAATTAGAAGGGAATTGAAGTTGTACGGTTGCCAATTTTGTAAGGGGCGGTTTTGATGAGTGACCATTGACATTCTGACCAAAGGGTTTCTTCGCAACTTGTTTTTGGCTTCACTGCGTTAATTGTGCTCATTGCTTTAGCGTAATTCCAGGCTAGTTTTTCAGTTACCTCTTTGATCTCGTATAATGAACACTTTACCCACTTCCGACCATATAGAGATTGTAGATTCCGAGTCCACTCCCTCATCTTCCCCTATTCTCATTAAGGTTCCTCCTCCTAGGGTTTCTGACCCTCTTGAATCTGCAAACGATTCAGTCAATCAAATGGATATTTCTTGACCTCAAGCTGAAGTATCTATTTTCGGGTCAGACAGTGTTTTTACCAAAGAGGAGAGAAAGATGATTTTGTCTATCTGGTATCTCAAATTCACTATTGAGTCTGTAATGGAAGAATTTAAAATCCCTGAGGGGGTAGAAATTGTTGAATACCCCAAAGAAGCTGATTTCAGTTTCGGTGAGGGTGTCGAAGAGAATGAATTGTTCTTATCGGTTGGGCACCTTAATACTCTTCGATTTCCTTTTCACCCCTTCTACCATTTGGTCTTCAATAAGTTAGGTCTTGCCACTCTTCAAGTAAACCCCAACTTTCTTCGAATAGTCTCATCACTTTTGGTCCGCTGAAGGCTAGAGAGTCTTGACTTGACTCTCACTGACCTGCTGATTACTTACACCATCTCTAGGCATGGGACTGAGCCTGGCCGTTTTTACTTTACTTCCTCTCTTCAACAGAGGATATGCACGGATCTTCCTAATTCCGAGAAGAAATGGAAAGAAAGGATGATAATTGTTAAAGGGAACTGGCTATGTCCCAATCGAGCAAACTCCCAATCCCACGCAAATTTGGGAAGTTAGGTATAAAATGTTTTCCCTCCCTTCATGACAAGTGCTCTAATTGCTTCCCATGCCGAGTATTACTCTTTCGTCATACTTATGAATTTCTTGGTATTTTTTCAGCGACCTTCCCTTCCTTAGCAGCTAAGAATAGGTTCTCCTTTCTCGAAGACCAAGTTTGGAGTGATCCCCCATCCATTGAGGAGCTACTCTCTTCATCCAATTTAAAAGAAATCGCTTCCAGCGCTGCAGTAGCCGACCACATGGATTTAGCCCTTCCTTCTTTTGATAGCTTCCTTCTTACTGATAAGGAGAAGAAAAGAGCTGGAGCTCTTAAGAAGAAAGCGGCAGAGGATCAACCTCTTGTCGTTATCCGTTCCACTGAGCATGAGAAGGAGGTTGATGAACCTTCTTTGAAGAAGACAAAGCAAAACCCTCCTTCCACTAGCAAGGGTAAGAATGCCTCCAAGAGTAAAGGGAAAAAGGCTAATGAAGCTGACCCTAAGGCTGAAGTTAGGGATTACATCCTGGCTGAGGCTGAAGAACCTTGGAGGCCCATTTTTTCTAGAGCTAACAAGTCAATTCTTCACTCTGGAGATTCTATTGTTACAGACCCTTCTGCTGTTTTGGAAGTAGCTAGGGAAATGTGGTTACCCAAGGATGAGGAGATTATTGGTAATATAGGGCTGGACCAACTGCTGTCTTCTATCCCTATTCGTGCTAAGGTTTGTATTTTCCCTCCTTTGTTATATTTACTTAACTTTCCCTTCACGCTATTTACTTCATTGATGATTATACAGAACATGTATCACACTATGGCCATGTGTGCTACTGCTGAAGCCCAGTCAATCTTTATTCAAAAAATGGAGAAGGAGCAGGAGACTGCGGAGAAGAAACTCTCACATTCGCTCAAGGATGCAAAGATGGCTTATAATGCTAGAGATACATACAAGAGTCAACTTGCATCCACTGAAGCTAGGATGAAGGAGTTAGAGGCTGAGAACCTTCGATGGAAAGATGCAGTTAATACCTGCACAACTGCTGGAAAGCAAATGCAGGAATGTTATTCTTCCTTGGTATGATTATCAAGTGCCAAGGCCTTCAAGTTCAGCTTCAACCAAGGCTTAGGTGACAAATAGAAGGACCCTGAGGCTTTTAATGCTGACATGGGGGTATCTTTCCCTTATGATGAGGGTCCAAAGGCCCAGAAGGCTGAGGTGCTATTCGCCGAGATGGTGAAGTCTCGTCAAGGGGATCTTCCAGCATCAAGCTCTCCAGTTCCAGCAGCTCCAAGCCATTCAATACCTCCAGCTTCAAGACCAATTGTGGTTGATACTTTCGACTCTGCTCCTTTTAACCCCAAAAGGAAGTAGAGTTGTGTAATTTTTTATTTTGAAATAATGCACTTTGAGACAGTATATTTTTGCTTTGGGGCTGTAATGATTAAACATATTTTGATGTGATTCGCATGTCTGTGAATGCTTTTGAATTGCATAAAATACCTAAGTAGCAATGTTTCCGTATTTTTTAGGAAGATCCACTGCCTGAGGACTTCGAACTTCTTATGGTCCGAAGCAAAACTGGATAAGTGTTAAGAAGGGGATTCCTATGACAGTTCGGCTACTATCTAAAGATTATTTTTCTATCTAGTGATCTAACCGTCAAGGGAACCCTTCTTGCCATTTACTTATATGGAATGGGTATATCCACACTTATTTTTTCGTGTACTATTTCGATGTGGGACAAAAAATTTTATGGATTGAACATTATTGGACCAGGTATAGTGACCTACAGGTGTGACGATCATGAGGAATATTTGCCCCCACTTAAGTTCAATCCTTATTGATGTAACTTAAGATACGAAGCGTCTGAGGTGGTATATTCCTTGGCTCTTAGCCTGAGAGGAATTGTATTGTGCCAGACTCTTGGGGTCCTCGGCTATGAGCCTGAGAGGAATTATATTGTGCCGGACTCTTGGGATCCGAAGCGATATATTCCTCGGTTATGAGCCTAAGAGGAATTGCATTGTGCCGGACTCTTGGGGTCCGAGGCAATATATTCCTCGGCTGTGAGCCTGATAGGAATTCTATTGTGCCGGATTCTTGGGGTCCGAGGCTATATATTCCTCGGCTATGAGCCTGGGAGGAATTGTATTGTGCTGGACTCTTAGGGTCCGAGGCGATATATTCCTCGGCTATGAGCCTGAGAGGAATTGCATTGTGCCGAACTCTTGGGGTCCGAGGCGATATATTCCTCGGCTATGAGCCTGAGAAGAATTGCATTATGCCGGACTCTTAGGGTCCGAGGTGATATATTCCTCGACTATGAGCTTGAGAAGAATTGTACTGTGCCGGACTCCTTGGGTCCGAGGCGATATATTCCTCAACTATGAGCCTAATAGGAAAAGACACCACGCATACAGGGCAAGCCAAAGATTCAAAAGTGATATGAGGCCATGAAAAAGAGTAACTATGACCGGAAAGTCTCCCATGCGTTTACTTGGGAGACTATCTTTCACAGAGACTCTCTTCGTGGCGACCAGACGTGGTTTTCTACAACTATATAAATTATACACCCTTTGTATTTCTAGTCGATATAGGACAAAAAATAGAGTTTGCATTATAGGCCAGGAATTTGGGCTTAAAAAGAATTATTGCAAAGAATGCCCGCTGGTATCAAGGCTTTGAACACCATTTGGGCTGGGCTGTTTCTGTTACCAGCGGGCCCTCTTTGCAATGCACTCCAATATTTTAATATTTCTCTATATAAAGGAATGTATAAAGGTATTTTTTTATCGGTGTGGGACAACAATAAAAGTAAGTTGTTGCATAAAAACTCAAAGTAGTTTAAAAAATGAACAACTGTTGTGTCCAATTGAAGACAGTTTCCACAAACAAACAATCGATAGTTTCCATAAACAAACAATCGTTGACTTTGTGCCTGTTTTTGTCTTTTCTTCTTCTTTTTTTCTTTATCGTAACATTAATACATAGTAGCGTACTAGTGGGGTACTAGTCTTGCCCCTTTTTAAGAGAAGAAAGAAAAACTATATAAACATGAAGTGAAATAGCATCCCGCACCGAATATTAACGTGTGTGTCAAAAACGATCACTCATGAGATTGATTACTTGACAATATGAAAGTTTATTATATGGGCCATAAACAGCCTTATTTGTATAGAGATAAATATATTGCATATTTGTAAAAGAAAAACAAATGGACTATATTATCTAATAATAGTACCTATTAAGGTGTATTGCATTCCATGGACGTGCAATTGGACGCCCATCAGTTTCGGCTAATCGGTAAACGCCTTTCCCTACCACTTCTGTGACTCTATAGGTCCGGTTCAATTGGGTTATAACTTCTTTACAAAGACTATTTCCTGCTTCAGCACCCAATCGCCTACCACAAAACTTCTGAATCTGACGCACTTGTTATAACTGTTACGTAACTGTTGTTGGTACGAAGAGAGCCTAACTGTTGCAGCATCCCTCTTTTCTTCCAGGAGGTTGAGGCTATGCTCAAGCTGTTGATCATTGTTCCCCTCACTCAATAAATGTGTCTGAAGAGTAGGCACTGTGATTCCGCAGGGATGACAACTTCAGACCCATAGGTCATTGCGAAGGGGCTTTCCCCCGTTGACCGTCGTGGGGTGGTTCGATATGCCCAATGTACCTAAGGTAGATTCTCGTACCACTTTGATTTGAGCTTCTCAAACTTTTTCTTGAGATAACTGAAGATGGTTCGGTTAGTTATTTCAGCCTGCCTATTTCCTTGTGGATGACTAACTACGGCTAATTTCTGTTGAATCCCATGCTCGGCGAAGAACTTTCTTGTACTTCTGTTGTCCAAGTTCTTACCGTTGTCCATCATGATAACCATCGGGACTCCGTGGGCAAAGGTCCGACCAAATCAATCCCCCATTGTGCGAATGGCCATGGATTTGCCATTGCGTGCAAATCCTCAGCGGGCTGATGTTTCATTGGCCATGTCGCTAGCATTTGTCGCATCTCTTGGCATATTTTTCAGCATTCCGAGCCAGGTATGGCCATAAGTAACCTTGAGTTAAGACCTTATACGCCAGGGATCTGCCGCCGGAGTGGTTGCCACAATCCTCGTCATGAATTTGCTTTAATATTACGAGGGCCTTAGTCGGGCTTAAGCACTTCAAGTAAGGACCTAAAAATGACTTCTGATATAACTGATTATTGATAATAGAATATTTGGCTGCGGTGAACCTAAGTTTCTTTGCCTCGGCTTTCTGGTTCGAAAGAGTTCCATGCTTGAGGTAAGCTTCCAGTGGATCTATCCAGCATGGTTCTCGTGGAATGTCCGGGATCACTATTATATCCTGCCAATGACTTATACTAAGTTCGTACAAGATGTCTATCGGCACTATCCGGACCAAATCTTCGTCTGAGGAAGATGTTGCTTTGGCCAATTGATCTGCTTTAGAGTTCTCTTCACGAGGTACTTGGCGGAATTCAATTTGATCGAACCCATATGTAGCACTCTCTATAGCCTCCTTGTATACTTTCATTCTTTCTTCTTTGGGCTGATATTTGTCTATCACCTGATTCACAATAAATTGGGAGTCACTAAAAACCTTTAGACACCATACCTAGAGCTGGTTTGCCAACCGGAGCCCGGTGAGCAAGGCCCCATACTCGACTTCGTTATTAGTGGTATAAAAAGTCAGGCGGATTGACTGCTGTAGCTCGGTGCCTTCAGGGGTTGTGATAACGATTCTGGCCCCAGCACTAGTTAGGTTCGAGAAACCGTCTACCCGAAGCTCCCATTGTGGTTCAGAAAGGTTTGGCTCTTCAGACTTATCTTCATACTCAAGGAGAAAGTCAGCCAATGCCTGGCCTTTGTGTGACACCTTTGGCTCATAGGATATATCGAAAGAACTGAGTTCGATTGCCCACTTTGTTATTCTTCCAAACAAGTCAGGCTTGGAAAGAATAACTCCATGGGGTAGTTGGTTAAGACTACGATACTATGAGACTCAAAATAGTGCTGAAACTTCCTCTTTGCATATACTAATGCTAGTATGATTTTCTCTGCTTTGCTGTACCTTGTCTCAGCATCTGTCATCGTCTTACTGGTGCAAAAGACTGGGTACTGATTTTTTCCTTCTTCTCTGATCAAAACGGCACTTGTAGCTATGTCAGAGATTGCTAAGTATATGATGAGAGTTTCACCAAGCTTTGGAGTGGACAGAATTGGAGGTTTAGCCATGTAACACTTCAATTGATTTAGAGTCACTTGCTGTTGAAGTCCCCATATATCCTTGTTCTTGGATCTTATTGCATCAAAAAACGGTTTGCACTTATCTGATAATCGAGATATGAAGCAGCTAAGAGCTGCAATTCGACCAGTTAGGACCTGTACTTCCCTGCAAGTTTTTGGTTCCTGGTTTTGTATAAGCGCCTGAGCCTAAGCTGGGCTTACTTCTATTTCTCTCTCATTGACAATATGGTCGAGAAACTGCCCTAAAGAGACTACAAAGGAACAATTGGAAGGATTCAGCTTCATGTTATACTTTCTCAAAGTGTCAAAGACTTCCTGGATATGCTTGGGATGATCCTCTTTCTTTACACTTTCAACCACCATGTCATCAATGTAGGTTTCGACCGTCTTTCCCAGCATCTCGTTGAAGATCTTGTTAACGAGGCGTTGGTAAGTTACCCTAACATTCTTGAGTCCGAAGAGCATGACTTTGTAACAGTAGGTGCCTTTCTCTGTTATGAAGGAGGTTTTCTCTTCATCCACTGGATTCATTGGGATTTAATTATACTCGGAATACACATCGAGGAATGTGAGTCTCTCATAGCCAGTGGTAGCGTCGACCATCTGGTCTATTTTGGGTAATAGAAAGCTATCCTTAGGGTAAGCCTTGTTGAGATTGGTAAAATCTATACATACTCTCCATTTTCTATTCTTCTTCTGAACTACCAACACGTTCGAGAGCCATTGTGGATAGTGCACTTCTCGGATGAAACCTGCTTGAAACAGTTTACTTACTTCTTCAGCAATGATTCGATTGCGCTTAGGAGTGAACCTTCTGTGTCTTTGCTTAACTGGCTTGAACATCGGATCCACCTTCAAGCTGTGGCATGAGATTGACGGGCTAATTCCTACCATGTCTGAATAATCCCAGGCAGATGCATCTGTGTTCCATCAAATGACATCAACTAAAGCTTCTTTCTATTCGGCTGTGGGGAAAGAGCCCATATAAGTGACTTTCTGGGGATCGCCGAGGATAACTTCGACGTTCTTGAGGGATTCCTCGGTTGGCTTTGTAGCTTCAGCTTCATCCTCCTCTTTCAAGTACTTGGGCAGAGAGCTCTGTGATTGCTATTTGGAAACACTTTCGGGGGCCGCAACTGACTGGGACTGCTTGATCATCTTCTTTGCTTCATTCAGTGTTAGCATGTAGCATTCTTTGGCAGTGACCTGATCTCCCTAAAGATTAATAACCTCCTTACCGTCCGCAGACAAGCATCGCATCACCTGATGAAGGGTAGACAGAACCCCGTTCATTCAGTGGATCCAACCTCTTCCCATAATAAGATTGTAAGAAGGATGGATTTCTGTTAGAACAAAGTTTTCCTTCAATGTCCTTTTTGCTACAGTGATGGATAAATCAATTACCCCAAGAGGGTCTACCTTCGTGCCATCGAACCCCATCAAGGGACTGGAGGTGGGCCGAATTGATGATAACAGGATCTCCAGCTGCTCAAAGATCGCCTTTGTGATAATATTGGAGCTACTACCTGGGTCTATCGAAACCCTTTTGATCATGCAATTTGCCACCAGAAGACTGATGACTAGTGGATCCTCGTGGGGAAGTTGAACTCTGGATAAATCTCCATCGCCAAACCCAATATTGATGCTGCCCAAAGTAATAGTGTTCACCGAGGATAATTTCTTTAGCTTGTGGGCTGCCCTTAGTCTGGATCGATACACTTCTTCTGACTCTTGGTCGTCCTCTGATCACCCATGTATTGCATAGATGACCTTTACTTGATTGCCCTCCACTTTTCGAGGATTGACCTCTCGAGGCTTCACGTACTTCTTTAGTGTGAGGTAGTCTGCCAACTCACCCCTGGCTATCATGTTCTCCACTTGCCGCCTAAGGGATCTGCAATCATTGGTTGTATGCCGATAATCCTATGGTAGGCGCAGTGCTTGCTCTTGTCCCTTTGCTCCAAGGGTTGCCTCATAGGCTAAGGGGCTGCGAATCTCACCTTGTTTTCTTGGAATAGCCGAGCCAAGGTGGTACGAAGAGGTGTGAACCTTTCCTCTGTCATCTACCTCTTCTCAGGTACCTAAGCGACCTACACTGAAGCATGCTGGCTTTTTTAACTTTTGAACTTAAAACTTTTTCCCGAGGTTTATTCTCCACTGTAACGAGGGTGGCGTGCTGTGCTCGGTGGGTTACATTCTCCTCAAGTCGGATGTAGATCTGTGCCCTAGCATTGAGAGTCTGCATATCCAAAGGGGAATATTTGACTAGAGAGGTATGGAACTTGGTTCCCTGAATTATACCGATCTTGAATGTTTCTATTGCAGTCGCAGGATGACAATCTACTATTTTCGAGGCCTCCATGTTATATCTGGACAAGAAATCCTGTAGCGTTTCTCCTCTATTTTGCCTTATGGTGAAAAGACTAGCGATGGTCTTCTTCTACTTCTTGTTTCCGCAGTATTGTGCTAGGAACATAGCGCACAAAGTTTCGTAGTCCGGGATGGATTTCTGTGGCCTATTCCTGAACCATTCCAATGCAACTCCCGTTAGACTAGTTGAAAAAACCTTATAAATGAATGGATAGTTGTAATCGTCCAGAGCCATCTTTTGTGAATGGTGGTCAAGGTGACGAGAAGGATCTCCTGTACCATCGAACTGAGTAAAGGAAGGCATAGTGAATTTCTTAGGTCTATCAACAAGGTATATATCATCGGTGAATGGAGTCTTCACTAGAGAGTTCTTATGCCATCTCGGCAGACGTCTGAATCCTCAAGAGTCTTTTCTCATCAAAGGCATCCTGTACGCCTCCATTCGGAATGCCATTGGACCATACCGTAAACTTATGGCTGGACTCAGTCTGTTCGTCCTGCGTGCGACGAGGCAGATTGTCCGATGCGACCACCTTGGTCCTTGTCCTCTGCTCTTGCTGAACTTCGTTAGGCCGAGCTTCATTAAGCTGTGCCCCATTGGCTTGAGGTTCGTTAACTGGAGGAATGTTTTGGTTGGGGGGAGGTACTACCGCATCACCTGGTTGTGGCTGTGGTGCCAACTGAGCCATCGCCATTTGAAGGGTATCATTTTGCTGTTGAAACAATGCAATCTGAGCTATCCTGGCCTCGTTCGCCTTACGAAGCATTTCGAATTGGTGCAAGAATTCTTCTCGCATCTTTTGCATCAACTCCATATGTTGATCAGCCACTACTGCATATCATCCAATTGACATTCCAGATCGTAGTAACATAAACAATTTGAAACAATAGTGAGAGTATATTTCTATACGTTTCCCACAGACGGCGCCAAAGTGTAGATGCAAAATTTCTCTCTGTAAAAGAATTAAAAAGAAATAGAACAACTCACTCAAAATAAAATAATAAGTAACAAGAATAATTCAGAGAAAAACGTATATTGCTCGATGATCTTTATTGGAGATCTAGGTCTCTATTTATATATAAAAAGGTGGTGGAATTTTGGTAGAACTCGCATTGCTTGCCCTCTAATACATTCCATATACAATGTTATTTCCTATAACGTTGTTTCCTTCTATACTTCTTTCCATGCCAGATTTCTCTTGCTATAGACCTTCCTTGTATGAAGGATCCTTTATTTGGTAGGACTGGTTCTATTTTGATAAATCTAGGCCGAATGCTATTTGGTCCAACTGACTTTGTTAACAGGCTGGAAGTTCAATATTTGCGATCTTGGGCCGTTAGTGACTTTGCCTGGGCTTGAACAGGGTTGGGCTTTTGTAACCCACCAAGAAATTAAGGAATAAAGCTTAAGTTGTGGCTATGTGGCTGGCTTTTATTGGAGGGGAATTTTTCCCTTCACACTATTCATTTATTATTCTTATTTTAACAAAAACTTGTGTAAAGTTTATGTAAAATATTTTTTTCACGCTTCAAATTATCTAAAAATTTAAAATTTACAAAATTACTTTCTAATTATCTCTTAAAATTGATGCTTAATTTTTAATTTTTTTCCAAAAACATGTTTTGTTCCTCAATTTTATTTCAGATAATGTTGTTAAAGTTGATAAATGTTGTAAATGTTGCTCTTTGTACTAAAATTGTCCTGTCCAAAAATTTTGTATGATACAAATGAGAGAAATTTGTAAATAAATAAGGATTTTTTTTTTTTTTTTTTTTTTTTTTGGCAAAAATAAATGTATTCCGTGAATTAAAGAAGTATCCTAATTAATTATGGTGCAGCAGTTTTTATATGATTTTAAAATGCTTAGTGTCTTGATGTATGCTCAAATTTAATGGTCCATTTAAATGATTAATCTGATAAACTTAGATGAACAATTTTTCCACTATTTAATCTGTGTAGCAAGGGAAAAAATCGATCTGGCAGTAAAATTTCCTCAATACATTATATTTGCTAAAGAGTTGTCTTTTTGCCTCTGTTCTTCTTCTTTTTCCATAATTTTTCGAACTGTTACATAATTTTTGCTATAATTTATTTTTTGTCTCTCAACGAGATTTAATTTATTTTTTGTCTCTCGACGAGATTTGAATTATAGCCCTTCTACCTTGGAAGGCAAAAAAAAAAAAACAAAAAAACAAAAAACAAAAACATTACATTATAGTTTACAAGACTTAGAATAGTTTTATAAGCTTTTAAAACCTAAAATTGAAAATCAAATAAAAATTATGAATAAAAACAAAATTTATTAGTTTCAATTCACATTCTTGAATAAGTGATTCGAACAAGTATTTGAAACCATACTGAGATTACAAGTAGGAATATTATATAAGATTGAAGGGAGGAACTATTAATGGGCTAACCTGGGCTATAGCCCAGATCCAATTAAAAAAAAAAATTTAATACTACTATTCATATAAGTCTAGTGTATATGTAATCAATTTGTAGTACTACACTTCCTCTTCTTATTAGCTCAACTATTCATGTGTTTATCTAGGCTATATGCTGCTACTATCTTTATTCTTTGAACTATTCCTTTGTTTATCTTTGATTTTTTCTCCTTAAGCAAGAGCATAAATTATGTTAATTAGAAATCACAATTCAAAAAGTTTACAACTACTAGAAAGTAAGGAAACATCCAACATTTCATTCAAATTAGGATATAAACCCATATTTCCTAGAACACGGACATTCTTATTTCAAAATCTAAGCAGCTTTATCAATTAATAGTTGAATGGATGTTCAAGATTCAATTGGATAATTTTTTATTTTATTTTTACCCGAAAATAAATTCCAATGGGTACTTTGATGGTGGATAACAAATATGTTTTTATACCTGATTTTAAGTTGAGATCTAAACTTGGTAAATTAGGTGTTTAGGTCCTCTCGGATCGAATCTTCAGTTAAAAAATGATCAATTTCATGATCTATTACTTGGACATAGAAGTAAAACCATATTGAACACAGTATACTCTTATCATATCTCACTTCTATAAGAAATTTTTTTAATATATCACAACTTTTATTATGTTTATCTCCAAATTTTCTTATCTCTAGTCCCCTACTTTGTAGTCCTGGCTCCGCCTGATCAAACAACTACTCTTGA